CGGCATCCTCAATTTCAAAGGTTATAAACCATATGGCCTTTGTGTTCTAATCGATACCGGCGCAACTACTAGTTGTTGCAGATATAATGCCCTGCCTTCTGAAAAATGGCAACAAATGAAACATCCCATTGGTGTTCAAGGTATTGACGCTGAAGCTCCCTTAAATGTGATTCAGTTCAAAGCCAAAGATGTAGCTATATGGCTTAATGAAAAAAAATTCATTATTCCCAAAATCCTGTGTTTTCCTTATATGCATGGCGATTTCATTTTAGGATGTAACTTTATCTATAGTTATCTTCCTTTACAGTTAAACGAAAAAACAATTTCGTTAACATTAAAAGATAAGACTGTTGTTGAAATTCCTATACAAGAAAATTTAGCCTCAGTATGTAACGAAAAATTCTCTCCACCTAAGCGAGAATCTGATGCCTTGGTACTACAAGATACCCATTGGCTCTATAACTCTCTTCGACAAAATTTCTCTGAAAATCCACTTACCTTGTGGAAGAGAAGTCCTCGTTTTTGTCGTCTTCAGCTCAAAGATCCCAATGTCATTATTCGAGTTAAACCCATGATTTATCTTCGAAGAGACATTGATGAATTTGATGCCCAACTACAAGACCTTCTTGAGAAAAAACTCATCGAGCGTACTAAAAGTCCACACAGTAGTCCAGCTTTTATGGTCAGAAACCATAGTGAAGTTAAACGTGGAAAAGCCCGCATGGTCATCAACTATAAACGGCTAAATGAACATCTAGTCTTCGATGGATACTTTATCCCTCGCAAAGACGTTCTTCTCAATCAAACTAGAGGAGCAAAAATCTTTAGTAAATTTGATTGTAAGGCTGGTTTCTGGCAGATTAAACTGCGCAAGAAATCCAAACCATTAACCGCGTTCAGTACGCCTCATGGACATTATCAATGGACCGTTATGCCCTTTGGCCTTAACACAGCACCCCAGATTTACCAACGCTGGATGGATTCAATCTTTAATGACCTTAAAGATTTTGTTGTTGTTTATATTGATGATATTTTAGTTTTCTCTAAAAACAGGGAAGAACATAAAACTCATCTCATATGCCTTTCAGAAACACTAAAAAAGTATGGCATAATTTTGTCTCCCACCAAAATCGATGTTGAACAAGAATCCATTGATTTTCTCGGATTAGTTTTAACCCACAAAGGCATAAAACTACAGGATCATATTATTATAAAGATCCGTGACTTCCCCGATATCCTTCAAGATAAAAAGCAGCTTCAAAGCTTTTTAGGAATCTTGAATTATGGCCGCTCCTTTATTAAAGGATTAGCCCAAAAGGAACTTCCTTTATTAAAGAAGCTCCAAAAGAATATCCCTTTTGACTGGACTGATAATGACACCACCATTATCCAACAGATCAAAGCAGATCTGGTACAGATCCCTGAAGTTTATTTCCCTCAGAATGGTGATAAACTTATTCTCGAAACAGATGCCTCTGACCTCTGTTGGGGCTGTGTTCTAAAAGCCATCCCCGAAGAAAAGTGGATTGATGACACTCCATCATCTCCTATGATTAGAGCTCGCAAAACTCCGATCTCCAAAAAACTTCAAAAAGAAGAATTAATTTGTGGATATAATTCTGGAAAATTCAAACCAAATGAACAGAATTATATTATTTATGAAAAAGAACTTCTGGCTATAAAATTAGCAATTAAACGTTTTCATATTTATCTTGCTCCAGAAGACTTTATTATTAGAACAGACAACCAAGCTGTTAAAGATTTTCTAATCAATAAAAGAAATTGCTTAGATGGTCGTCGCTTAAAATGGTATAATGTTATTGCCCAATATTCTTTTGCTATTGAACATATCAAAGGAACTAATAATTTTCTTGCAGATTTCTTAAGCCGACCGACAGAAGTATCTAACAAGGATATTTCTTCTCTCCTTCTAACAGATGGATGAGTATCCTAAGCCTATACCTGACAAAGAAGGTTGGATCACTGTTGCTAAAAAAGCAACCTCCAAACCCTCTCCATCACAGCCACAAAAATGGTTCGTGGTTTTTGCAGGTCACCAACCTGGTATCTATGAGAACTGGGCAGACTGTCACAAGCAGCTTCGATCCTTCAACGGTTCTTGCTTCAAGGCGTATGACACACTTATAGAAGCCCAAACAGTTTTCTATAATGTGGGCCAAGCCTCTAACAAAATGTTTTCAAAAAACCCAGACATTTTAGAAATTAACAATTTCTATGATCCTGGTCTTCCAAACAATTTGTACAATGAACTGAACACTGTTTGGAAAGCACATAAACTCGGTGCTAATAAAAAATTCAGACAGCATCTGAGTTCTCTTGCTGCTCTCATGGCTGAACAAACAGCTATGACGACTGAGCTTAAACAGCTCTGCATACAAAGCTGTCTTTCTATCGACTGGGAAAAAGATTTTTCGCTTTCTCAAATTAATTGTTTTCTTAAACTTGCCCAGTTAATAGGAGAACAAGACTTCCCTGCAAATACGTTTGCTAAAATCAACCGTATTTGTCTCCTGGAAAAGGCCAGAGCACTCTTACCTTCAGATATTTTTCGGTTTATCTACCGACAAATTGAGAATCATTATGATATAATAAAAACATATTATACCACCTATCATGAAGATATCAATACCTTTGATACTCTTTATAATGGAAAAAAGGTTCTTAAACTTGACTTTTTTATCATTCCAGGCCTTGAATGGTCCATGGATCCAATTGATTGGGGATTAGTTAATAAACTTACCTTTTCCTCCCATGATTCATACCAGAATTTTCCAGCAATGATAAAATCAATGATTTACAAAATCAGTCACCGCTGGCAATACAGTCGACATCTGACGTTCTGGATTTCTAGTTCAATTGGGAGTTTTGAAAAAACTCGCTTTTTTCAACCATACCAGATCTGGTACCTCAAATACACTGGTCAAGATGATGAGGCAGACTATGAACATCATAAACTGATAAATTCTGAGGAACTAGCTGCCGGCTTAGAACCTTATTATTTTGAAAGTCATAGTTTCTTACATCTACAAGACGTTGCTCGCCGTATTCTTGATGGATCATACTACCACCAAGAACCTATTTATTATTGTTGTGATGGACGCAGACTCTTCATCACTTCCATTCGCTGTTACTATACAGACGTTGCCGAAGGAGAACACAATATCCAGATGGCCATGACTTTCTTAAAAGATATTGTTCATCACCACTCCACCATGGACATACCGTCCCGAGTCAAAGATGAGGTTGAACGTACTAATCTTGACTGGGACATTGCAGACGCACAGTCTCCTGCCAGTACCCCTCCCCTTGATGAATATGAACTCCATAACATCATCAATGCCATGGAAGGGTAACCGACACTCTTCTCCAATCGACTGCAGCCTGATTCAGCACACGACAGAAGAATGTCCCATCTACTTTTCCAAAAGCTAAAGTAGCCGAAAGTTGCCGACACACTATTCATCAACAGTGAAAGTTGCCGACACTCTTTTTCAAACAGTAAAAAGAAAGATTCTCTCTTATCTTCTTTGACACTGTTTAGCTTCTGTAATATCTATTTAAACGAAGACCTTAGAAGGGTTTTGTTATCTGTTTTTTCATTCTCTCTTTTCCTCTCTTGTTTTGAGGAATCCTCATGTAAAGTTTTGTTTTTATTTCCGCATATTGTAATTGGTATCAGAGCCCTCTACGAATCTGGACCACTGTAAGTTTCTGTAATAAAGTTTTCAGCTAAACTAGTCACTCTGTTTGAACCTAGACCATTCGATACAATAATTGAGCCTAAACTTCTCAATTGGACTGATCTAGAAATCCCTAAAACTTGGCTATTTGATAACATCAATTCTGTTCCAAAGTTACGTATCACAGAACCCACTGTGGCTACAATACATGCTTCTGGTTCAAATCTTTATGTTACCAATAAAGCGAACCCACCTCAGTTACAACGTTCTGTATCTGCACGCCACCATGGATGGGAGAAAATCCTTCCTCCTCGCAAATCCTTTGAGCTACCACCTCGACGTCGTTTCACCTGGACCGAAAAGGGAAAAGACCCTATCGATCCTCAAGATGCCCCCTTTTTGCCTGGAACAACACATAAAATGAACTCTGCAAAATTTTTTCATTTCCATACCGGAAAAGATGAAATTTTAATTGCTCCATCCCAAGGCAAAAAACGGAAATATACATATGTTAACGGCATCCTCAATTTCAAAGGTTATAAACCATATGGCCTTTGTGTTCTAATCGATACCGGCGCAACTACTAGTTGTTGCAGATATAATGCCCTGCCTTCTGAAAAATGGCAACAAATGAAACATCCCATTGGTGTTCAAGGTATTGACGCTGAAGCTCCCTTAAATGTGATTCAGTTCAAAGCCAAAGATGTAGCTATATGGCTTAATGAAAAAAAATTCATTATTCCCAAAATCCTGTGTTTTCCTTATATGCATGGCGATTTCATTTTAGGATGTAACTTTATCTATAGTTATCTTCCTTTACAGTTAAACGAAAAAACAATTTCGTTAACATTAAAAGATAAGACTGTTGTTGAAATTCCTATACAAGAAAATTTAGCCTCAGTATGTAACGAAAAATTCTCTCCACCTAAGCGAGAATCTGATGCCTTGGTACTACAAGATACCCATTGGCTCTATAACTCTCTTCGACAAAATTTCTCTGAAAATCCACTTACCTTGTGGAAGAGAAGTCCTCGTTTTTGTCGTCTTCAGCTCAAAGATCCCAATGTCATTATTCGAGTTAAACCCATGATTTATCTTCGAAGAGACATTGATGAATTTGATGCCCAACTACAAGACCTTCTTGAGAAAAAACTCATCGAGCGTACTAAAAGTCCACACAGTAGTCCAGCTTTTATGGTCAGAAACCATAGTGAAGTTAAACGTGGAAAAGCCCGCATGGTCATCAACTATAAACGGCTAAATGAACATCTAGTCTTCGATGGATACTTTATCAAAGCAAACTCTAGCTAGCTTCATGTTTCATCATCAACTCCCCAAACCAGACCGTCGACTTCCTCCTTCTGCTGAATATGGTCAAAGTTTACCAAATAGTACTGCATCTTATTCAGTACCTCCATGGGGAAGTTGGGGTCTAGAGGGTGGGAGTACTATTCAAGCTAAAGATCACGTGATAACCATTTTTCCAACACCACAATACAGCAATTATGGAGAGGCAACCTTCGTCTCCGACTTCAAACATATGAAACCCCAAGTGTGTAGAGCCATAACGATGGGAAAGCAAACTGATCATGAGTTTAAACTCGACGTTGAAGAAGAAGAAGAAGATACAGCAGACTACAAGCGGATTATCAGTGCCCGTGGGAACACCATTCTTCATGTTGCCTCCAGTTTAGGCCATTCCGGCCTCGTCGACCAGATACTCAGCAGCCACTCTAATTCCAACCTAATCTTCAGCAAAAACACCACTGGCAACCTTGCTCTCCATTTGGCTGCTGCTGCTGGCCATCAAACTGTCGTCCAGATTCTGGTTCGTCATGCAGAAGATGATGGTTCGCAGCTGGATCTACTCGTCCAAGAAAATGAGGACAAGAATACTGCGTTACATCTTGCCATTAAAAATCATCACCACAAATTGGCTATTTTCTTAGTTGAGAAGAATCCAGATGCCACCATAAGAGTAAACCGCGAAGGAGTTTCTCCCTTGTATATGGCCGCCGAAGCTGGGGATGTGGAGCTTGTGAACGCTATGCTCAACAGAAGACCTGCTGATGATATGGGATTTTTCCAAGGCAAGTCACTTGTTCATGCTGCCATTCAAGGGAGGGACATAGGTAAAACAAACCCTAACTCAATTTGTAGATATTATCTGTTTTTGTTCGCTCAATCCAACTTTGTTGCCATGATTGGTTCTCCACAGAACGTACACATTCAATATACATCAACATCATTTCAAGAATATATATTTCTAGCCCCCAATTTTTTTTTTTTTTTTGGGTAAATGTTTTGCTAACCCCCAATTCACACTAACATATATATTTTCTTACTAGAGTAATATTCCCAAGTTATTTGGAAGATAAATTATGTTAACAAAAGATGAACTTCAAATTATTAATAATTCATAAATAATTTAATTAGTAATTTTGTTAGTGTGTACCCCCATCCCTTTTCCTCTCGATCGTCTGAAATATTAACTCTTTTATTTTTTTTCTTAATTGGTATTCACACACATGCCTCCATTGAAACTTGAACCACAGACCTCCCTTTGGGAGATAAGGGCCTGATACCACTATAACACTGACCCGTTGGTAATATTAACTCTTTTATCGTATGAATTACCAGATGTCTTAGATGCCATAATGAGGTACCAATCCTCTAACATGCCAACAAATGTCTTACACGCGGTAAAGGGATATCAAACAACTTACATTGCTACTTCTGTGGATGGAATGCCTTCTTACTGTATTTCATTCGATGATGGAAGGAAGACATCATTTTGTTTTGTTCTGCTTGATGAAGAAGGGAAAACTCCTCTTTCCTTTGCATCCTCCATTGGTTACCTAGAAGGTGTTTGCTACTTCTTAGACAAAACTTTTGATGCAACATACACAAGAGACCGGGATGGGTCTTATCCCATTCACGGGGCATCCAAGAGAGGCCATGTCAAGATTATAAAAGAGTTTATCCAACGCTGCCCTGATTCAAGGGAGTTGCTCGACGAAAAAGGTAAAAATATTCTTCATGTGGCTGCTGAGAGTGGGAAATGGAATGTTGTAACATGCATTCTTGAGACATCCGAGCTTGCCATGCTTATTAATGAAAGAGATAAAAATGGAGACACCCCACTACACTTGGCAACCAAGAATAGGCATGCTCGGGTTGTGACTATCATGACATGGGACAAGAGGGTTGACTTGGAGCTTGTAAATGATGAAGGCCTAACGGCTTTGGATGTTGCAGATAACGACGGTCAGACAGCATCCTCATTTGAAAAGGTATGTGTTCTTAATTGAAATAACTTATTTCTTGATTGGTGTGTGTGTGTGTGTGGGGGGGGGGGGGGGGGGGGGGGGGGGGGGGGGGGGGGTTGTAGAGAGAGAGAGAAAGCGCATTATCTCATTCATTAATCAATAATGTTTACATGGATGATCATGGATTTCAGCAACTGACATGGCTAGCCCTGAGATATGCTGGCGCACCACAAGCTAAGAAGTTGAGTACTTCCAGAGTGAGCAAGCAATCTCCTTACATGAATGCCCAAAGACCAAAGCGTCAACATAATCCACTCAGCATGGAAAGTTACAAAGAAGGGTCAACGCACTGTTGGTGGTGGCAACACTAGTGGCCACTGTGGCCTTTGCGGCTGGTTTCACAATGCCAGGAGGATATAACACACAGTTCTCCTTGAAAAGCGTATGTTCTACGTCTTCCTTATAAGTAATACCGTAGCTATGTATAGTTTCATCATTGTTGCCATTCTTCTCTTTTGGGCAATTTTTAATGATCTAAGATTGGGTCTTAGTTCTCTCAAATTAGCAGTACCCTGTTAAAATTAAATTAATGCCATCTTCATTATGCATTTTGGGTTTGTTCATGTATCTGTTATTATACATGTATCAAGTGTGTACATGTATCATGTGTATGGTTGAGAATTGTCTGAAAAATTCAGAAGTTTTTGAGAGAATAGTATATATAGTGTAAGAGATTTGTTGTTAAGATATATCAACACAACAAATAATTGAATACAAAAATAATAATATTTGTTAATCTATTCATTCTTCTCCTCTCTTCACATAAAAATTATTTAGTTGGTTGAAACTATAGCCAACATAAGTAGTATTAGAGCTTGATTTCGATCAAGAGCAAATTGGGCATGGAGCTTATTGTCGAGAAAACAAATCCCGAAGAAGATCGATCGTGATAGCGACTACAAGAAGTCAAAACCAAGGTGCCCATTAATCAGTACTTCCCGTTTTTGGTGGGAAAAATTATAACTTTTATTATATGACGATGAAGACCATTTTTCTTTCATATGATTTTTGGGACTATGTTGAAGATGAGTATGATGAACCGAAGGATGCAACTACTTTGATGAATGCCCGAAGACAACAATTGAAAGATCATAAGAAGAAAGATGCAAAAGCTTTAGGCTTGATTCAACAAGGAGATGCTGATACAATCTTTCCCAGAATTATTGTAAAAACAGTGTTAATGCGGAGTGTGGAAGCTATTAGTTGATTTTAATTGTAATTAACTCAATCTATTAATGACCTAGATCTGATTATTAGGTCAACTTGCTTAATTTATGATTACTTAAATTGTATGATCAATTAAACATCCACAATCATAAATATAAATACTGAAAAGTAAAGCAAGTTAAGTTTAGAGAGATTGCACTAGGATTTTTAGCGAGGAAACTGGTGGTTCGTCGCTGCCCAATCCAAAGTTTGTGTAAAAGAGAGTGGTGTTGGACTATGGTCAAGTTTTACATTTATAATATGCCACTACTACTTTTCACTAAAAATATAGGTAGGGCAAGTAGGGATTGTCCCAAGGGATTGGTGGGTCGTATTAGGTTGTGAAATCAAGATTAGGTTAGTAGGTCAAGTGATCAAAAGATTGGTTGGTGATTGAATTATACTAAGATGCAATTTAAACTAAAGTAAATAATTAAATGCAAAAGCGAGAAAATAAGAGAGAGAGATCTTGGGGTTTAGAGATCACCACTACGCATAACTTTTCTACACCCTTAATGAATGATTAATGGGGGGGAAACATGTATTGCAACATTAGAGTGTGTATGTAGTTGTTTCAATAAGTATGGATGATTAATTAAGTATATATTGTCTAAGCAACATGATGTATAGCACAATATATCAAACTAAGCCATTAATTCTTTCTTTAAGCTCACAATCCAAACACATCACAAGGTTAGAGACATATGCTAGTTGCTTTCATAAGTATGGAACATCAAACAACAAGCATAGATTGTCCTCCCATTTAACATTAAACTATAACTACACTACAACTAAGCTAATAACATGGAATTAAACTAATTAAATTAAGGGAAAGGCACAATCCATCAAGAAATGAGTATGAACCATCAAATAAACCATAAGAGCATTCCATTAAGCACTATGTCTTGACAATCTCTAAATCTATAGCATTAATACACATAGACATGTATCAATAACACAAAATCTAGAGACAAACACATGAACATCTATACTAGCATACATAGACATATGGATAGAATGAAATGATCAATTGAAAGCACTAAACAACATAAATCATTGAATAAACAAGATCTATATATATATAAGTGTCAAAACATATATCATAATATAAATCCCCTCAAAAATACATAAATCAAGATATAGAAAGCATACTTAGGGCTAACTCTAGCCCCAAGAGGATGTCTAGCCACTCATGGATGGTATCCTCTAACCCTCAAGGGCTAACTCCATGGTAGAGATTGCTCCTCTTCTTGGTTAATGGAAGAACTCCAAGCTTGTGTCTCTAGCCTCCACTTTTCTTTTCTTCCTATCTAAGAATATGGAAATTGTGTCTCTTGTGTATCTATCTAGTATATCTCAAGAATGGCTCATATTCCTTATATAGGTAGGTTAAATGTCATCCCCAATGAGCTGGGCTCGTACACTGGACTCGTACACCAATATTCCTTCCAATGATTGGATATGAGACAACTTTTAATGAGCTAGAGATTGGATTTTCTCGGGCTTGAGGAAGTTCGATCGATCGATCGAACTTGTGGTGAGATTGATCGAACATGGCTGAGATCTATTGAATTTAAGCTGGATCGATCATCTGTGGCGGCACCTTTTTGGATAAAAATAAATCTGAGATATTTTGAAGATATTTTTGGGAAAGAGACAAGTGTGGTAAGTAGGGTGGTACAACTGGATAAGATGGAATCTTTTCGATCGATCGGAAGAAAGTTGGATCGATCGAATTGTAGGATCTTTGGATAAGGACAAAAGAGCTTGGATCCATCTTGAAATGCTAAGATCGATGAACTTTTGATCAATCGAATATTTCCTGAGATCGATCGAACTTACTGAATTTTCACCACTCGTTTCCTTTTGCTTCCACTTTGCTCCTTTCTTTGATTCATCTCAAGATTGCTTCAATTATGCTCTTATTTAGCTAAGTTAGCTTATTTTGGGGATATGTACCTAAAAATGGAAATAATACAAAATCAATCTATAGCAGGAAAATAAGATAGATAAAGGTCCTAGAATACCTAAGTTTAAGGGGTTTAAATGCGCACTTTTCAGCGTTCATCACACCCCCAAACTTAAATATTGCTAGTTCCTAGCAATGAACTAGAAAGTAAAGGAATGAAATGAACAACTATACAACTATGAATTAGAAAGCAATAAATGGACAATGCCACTTTCATAAGGAGCACGATTACATTTAGCATACGCAACAAGCCTTTTAAACCCTTAGGTTACCCCCAGTGGACGAGTGAAGTCTCGTGAGGGTTTCCAGAATTGATACCGACAAACATTAAGCTCATTCTTTCAAAAGAGATACCAATATTGCAAATAAGCATTGGGAGAAGACTACCTCAAATATGCAATTTTTCAAACATTTTCAAGCAATCTCCCAAAATCTCAACACCAAGCAAGTAAGCATGGTTCTCCACACATCAAGAAAATGATCATGCAAATCAAAACAACTCTAGAATCCTTTTTGAGTGGACCGACATCAAATATGTTGCTATCTAAGCCAACTAAAGAAATGATCACATCATTACCCTCAAACTAGCATACAAATCTAGTCTCGATCATTAAGACAAAGAGTGAACCTTTTATTAAAGTTTTATTGTTCTAGGTGCGCTTATTATTTTCACTCGATTGTTTTTTTTTTTTTTTTTTTTTTAGGATCAAAGATGGAAGCATAGTGCAATGTGTTGATCTATTAAGCTTTCTAGCGATCCATGAGGTCGAGCGTTAGGTCAATGACTCCCAAACTAGATGGTTTTAGGGTACTAGGTATTCAAACACCCCTAAGGACTTACAAGCTCAAATCAACTAGGCTACAAATCAAAACAACATTCATCTAATCATTTCTCACTTCTCACCTTTTGGGGGAAGTCCTCATTTTTTTATTTGCTTTTGCAACAACTTTTTTTTTTGAACAAACAAGTTCAATTATTAACCTAGAGTTTGGGCCCTCCACCTTTCAGTGCGAGAAATTCAGTGCTTAATGAGGCTAGAATTCCGGCTACTCAGTGAAAAGGGTTTGTTATCCACCTTTATCAAAATGAAAGCTTTCAATGCACTACTAGCTCAATTGGGATATAACCAATTTAATAATCAACAAAGCATGTACCCCACAAATGAATGCTAGTATGCGCCTGTGCTAGTGTTGAATCCTAGAGTGAATCTCAAAACAATCACAAAATCAGGATGATGCGGACCACAAGTGCAAGCATGATATCAATCTTTCAAAAAATTTACTCCTAAATGGCATCCACAAGGCATACAAGGAGTATTGGACTCTCAAGTCAAACAATTTTTAAATTTTAAGCAATATAGTCCTCAAAAGATCAAAATCATAATTAGTTATGGATCAATCATAGAAAATTCCTTAAATACACAAGTCATGCTCAAAATTTTGAATTGAAAGCAAATACTATAATTAACACCGTTACACCCCCAAACTTAAATGGCACAATGTCCTCAATGTGCAAAGAGAACAAAGGAAAGAGTATACCAGTGCAGCTAAGTAAAGAATGGCGGGGACACAAGTATCCAAAGTAGGTGGCATAGCCCCCCCAAACTTGGGATTAACTGTGGTCCTAAAAAGATGGCACTGGATAAAAGTTCATTAGACAACAAAGGGGATAATAACAGGTGCACAGTGGATATGCAAGTGTAAATGGGATAAGAAATTGAAGTAAGGAGAGAGGAAAAAGGGTGGTCCTGAAAAATTCAGGCAGTACTCTCTCTCACTGAAGTCACTGGGATGCATCTGATGGAGTCAAGCACAGACAGATATATCAATACGCAAATATGACATCCATAAACAAAGTATACATAAAAGAGAAGTAAAGAATAGTACAGTACATCCAGTTTTTAGTCCAACAGACTGGCTGCAAATATATAACAGTAGCAAAAATATGACAGATATCACAGATATATAATAGGAGAAGAAGATATGGAAATTATGAAGAGGAGGTAGGATGAGCATGGCGTGCTCCGCGGATGTCTCTGGATAGATCTCGTAATGCAGATATGACATCCGTGCGGAGTGAAGCAATATTAGCCCGGATAGAAACCATGCCGTCCTCCAGAGTCTGAAGACGCTCTCCGAAGCTGGGTATCTGAGGTGGAGCCTCAGGTGCTGCTGGAGCGGGAGAATGATGATCCTGAGCCTGTTCCTCATCGTGAATGGGCGACCTAACTGGAGATTGATGCTCTGGGTCCTCTGCGGGTTATTCTAAGTCAATATCCATATGCATGGCAGCCGAATCGACTGGTACATCGTCTGCCGCCTACTCTGCTGCTACAGCCGCTGCCTGCTCTAACTCCTCTCTCTAGCTCCTCAGTTGCCTCC